AAAAAAGGCTTACAAAAGGGGGTCATGGGCACCCTAATACACCCCTAGCTATGCCGTTGGTATCTTTGATGTGGAAGCCTTGCAGAATGCACCCTGGCTGTCACCTTTTCAAAGAGAGTTCTCTCTAAGATTGCTTCTTCTTTCCCTTTCCTCCTTCCTCTCACCCCCCCTCCTAACTTCCTCCCTTTTTTCCTTCCCTCCTCCTTCTCAAGCTTCATCCTGCTTCCCTGTTGCATCCTTCTTTGACTGTGATTTTTATTTAAATTGTTGGTTTATCTTCAGTGTGAGCTTTGATGCACCTACGCCTTCCTTCCTTCCTCCTTTCTTTCCTTCTCCCCTTTCATTCCTTCCTTCCTTCTTTCCTCCATCTTGGCTTACTTGCTTTCTTCCCTTATTTCTTTCTTTGCTTGAAATACTCATTTTTAAACTTGTCAGCACAAAAATATACCTTATGTCTTTGTATCCCATGGTAATTCACAGAGAAGAGAAGAGTTTAGAGGAGAAGTTCTGTCTAGATGCCAAAGTGAGAGGAGAAGCTGAAAGATTCAAAAAGAAGCTCCAGCAAAGGGCTGCTGATGTGAGCTTTTAATGGCACGACAGTAACTTTTGTTTTACAATTATACATTTTAATTTTAGTCTTGTGGCTAGTGTTAATATTACTGTCAATTTACACTTATCTATTACTGTCCTACATGATAAGATTTAAGGGAATCTCACTATTGGGCCAAGTGACCTCATACCACACCCAGATCTTATCCCATTTCAGTATCAGGAGCATAAAGAAACCTGGATGTGACACTAGTCTATTGCAGATCTTTAGAAATGAAATTTACCAGCACCCATCATTAATACACCTAGGTCCAAAGATGTATATCATACATGTAGACTAAAGATTAAAAAAATGAAGCTTCCAGATGCTTTGTTATCATAGCCAGCTCACTTTATCCAGGAGATTTAAATTCATTTTTCTTTACTTCCATTAAATCATTTGATACCTTTAATTTGTATTAAATCATTTCTTTTTTTCAGTTTTCAAGTACACTATAATTATATGATATAATACACTGTAATGATTATAATATATTTTTTGTAGAGTGCGCTTCTTGGAAGCAATCCTTTGTCGTCCACTGGAGAAGCGTCTACATATGGACAGAAGGTTTAAAACTGTTTCTGATTTGTTTGTTAGATAATGTTTAGACATTTCATAATGATAGATGTCCAACAGTAGCAGTTAAATGTAGAAATGATGATAGATGTGAATGCAGCCATAACAATACTGGAAAAAAGACCTGAGAAAAGTCTTTTTTCCAGTAGTGTTATGGCTGCATTCGCATCTATCATCATATCATAATGAGCTGACCTTAAAGATGATTTCCAGTCCATAGCTGCAAACTCTCGAGAGTTTGTTTGCGTTTGTTGTTTTGTTTCATGCATGATGTCACAAAATGTGAACATTTTGCAACTACTTAGTGAAGTAAATTCAAAGTTTGATGTCAGCCGCCATTATGGACATGAAGTAACACAAAGCTTTATGTTTCGTTCTTTCTCATATCACTTGATGAAACAGCTTTGAAGCAGTTGGAAAGAGAATTTGAAAGGCCTCAAAGATACTTGTATTATATGTGGTTTGTAACAAGTAACATCGATTTGCATTCTATTGAGTGAGGTTTTTTATGTTTATAAACATTAGGGTGCTGAGACTGTGCAGTACAGACTGGAAATCATCTTTTTTGTCATATCAGAATTATAAAGGATTGAGTCTTAGGAAAGAGTTATGTATAATGCAACCTTAAGAATCATTCATTTCATTTCTGTTAGACGCAAGTTTACTCAAATGATTTACTCAAATTGAGTAAACTTCTGTTATGTTTTTGGCATCTGTACTGCCTTTTTGTGAGGAACACAAGCTGTATTATCCATCCCAGGTACAATAATCGTTTGCCATTGGTCCAGCTCAAAATTGAAACATGTGTTAATTTCCTCTCATTTGGTAGACCTTAAACTCCATTATGCATCTGGATAAAATTATGGACAAAAGTGCAGAAGAAATTGGACAGGTGCGTATTTGAAACACTGCTGTTCAGAGGAAATAGTCCCATATTATTCAAATGCACTTGTTAACCCATGCCATTATAGTTTAAGGGCCCTATAGTCAGCCACACCTTTGTTTTTGTCTACATGCAAAAGTTTGTCTATTATATTTTATTTGGACCATGTCAAAATGAAGGAAATCAGTTAACTGTGAAACTACTAAAGATAATCAAACATACTTTCAGGAACACAACTTACAGTAAGCAATAAGATTTCACTTCACAATGCAACATCAATAATTTTGATGGCATCGAAAATGGCAGAGGTTAACGAGGATCCTTTAAGCTTACTGTACATGAACATGTGTTGTAACTTGCCATGATTTGTTCTAACACGGGACAACTTATTGTTTGACTTTTTGTTATGTTGATCTTGAAACAGGTTGTGACTTGTTGAAGAATACGTTTCACATTCTCAAACAGGACACATTACTAGTTCTAGAAATTGGAATTCTGAGGTTTTGGGTGAAAAATTACAATTACCATAGCTGGCCAGGCTATTTGTCTGATTGTTGAGGAAATGGTGGCAAAATTAACCACATGTTCTAACAATAACTTCTGACCTTTGTGACAACCCTGTTTCTGTCAGGTTGCCCCAGCAACTCATCTTTACACAATAATATGTTTACTTCAGTCTAGACTGCCAAAGGGCACCATGAAAGTAAAGTGTCTTATTCAAGAACACAACATCATTACCCTGATACGGGGGTTTCATTAAGGGCCAGGCATCAGGCAAATTGACCAGCTGTGAGGATGATTTTGCCTGTCTCATTTGACCATCTAGAGCAAAGTTTTTCTACTAAAGAAAATTCAGAAATTCAGTCAGTCAAAACTTTTGCCTGCTTGTGAAAACCAGTTGACCTCAGGCTGCAGAAAACGTTAATGATTGACCTCTTCTGACACACAGGGCTCAAACTCAACCTAACTTTAACTAGGTTCCAATGCTTGAATCTTTATGCTACTGCCCTTTACACGTAAATCATGATTTGGATAGCGTTTTTTGATTGCTCAATTTGTTTTTATTTTCATTCCAGATTTGGCGAGAATATCACAAAGATAAGGACTGCATCAGTGCTGTCATCCCAGTATGTTTAATAATGACGTATTGAAATTTTGCTATAAACTTGTTATTAACATTGTTTGCAGTCCTTTTATTTTCTGTATTTGTCTGTAATATTCCTTCAATCTTTGACCCAGTTACAGTAGTTAATGGATGTTATTGTATGGAAAGCAGACAAGAGACTTCAAACTTCCTAGGTCAAGCGGTAAAAAATATTGCCACTTGCGGTGTTTACTTATCTACGTTGAAAAACTATGGATACAAGAAGCCCTGTGAACAAAACCAGCCATTCACTGACGATAAAAAATGGTTGTTATTTATCGTGTTTGGTTTAAACTGTTACTTCTTGTTTACAAAGCTCTTTTAAAATAATCAAGCAACTGACTAATATATAAAGGACTTTTAAAACATAAAGACTAACACAACTTATCGCGTGTGCTCCCAAGACCATAACCTCCTCGCTGTTCCCAGAACCAAACACAGAACATTTAGGGGTGGCGAATGGTAAATGCGAGACTTTGCGAGACGGCGAGACAAGCGTTTTTCTTTGCGAGCTCGAGACATTTTGACTTTTTAGATTGCGAGACCGAGACTTCAAAGTGTTTTGAGTGCGAGCGAGCGATGTTCAGACTCTTAAAATTCGAGCTCCAGATTTAGCTGAGAGCTAGAAGTAGCTTGTACTGCCTTAAGCCAGCTTCTTGGAACTAACTGGAACTGGAAATTTGATTGTAACACACTACGTTATGATATCCTAGAGAAAAATATCTGTTTTTCTGGCGCCAAAACGGACGTTGTGGTAGATTTTGTACCTTTTTGTGGAATTACGACAATTAGGAGAAGTTAGGATTAAGGAAAATTTGTAAGTTGCGTCATTGAAATTCCATATCAAGTGAAGAGAAGAAGTCATTTAAAAAAGCAGATAAAGGAACGAATTGGGACTTCGAGACCCTTAGCCTTGCGAAATATCGAGACTCCGAGACAGCTTCGTAGAAAAATCGAGACTGCGAGACGCACATAGCCGCTAAAAAACGAGACTGCCAGACCCGTGAAATTCGACTAAAATTTTACGAGACCCAGAGTTTTTAAAGGACCATTCGCCACCCCTACATTTGGTGATTGCGCCTTTGCATGTGCTGGACCTTTTCTCTGGAAAAAACTTCGTCATGAAATAAGACCAAGTCCAACATTGATTGCTTTTAAATCAAAGTTAAAAACTTACTTTTTTAAAATAGTGTATAGTATGCCATAGTTTTATATTATGTTTTTCAAAATTGTATTATTTTTAGACACATTTTTGTTATATTTTTACTGTAATCTTAATCTTATATTGTAAAGCGCTTTAGAATATTTTATAATTTTAGCGCTATATAAATCTATTATTATTATTATTATTATTATTATTATGTTGTTGTTGTTGTGTTGAATGTGATTCTAGTACAGATCCTTGTAATTGATCATCATGATGGCAAATAATTATAAGGCCTCATAAAATTTAGATACATACATGATTTAGTTCTAAGTTTCCATCAATTTTTGTTCACAAAACGGTGACTTCAATCAGGTGAGTTTGGTTGAGCCATGGTTGGTGTTTTAGCAAAATGCACTTGACCCAAAACACCTATGGCTAGAGCAAAGTAACCTGACATGCTGTAGAAGGGAACTAAAATAAGGTACGATTAGATATTTAATCGTATCTATAACAAAATTCTCGATTGTGATTGGTTCTCCATGCGCCTATTTGCCACGTAATCGGCACGCGATCACATTTTTGTAATTGGACACCTGTAATTAGATACCCACGTGATTCGCACTTCAATTGCACGCACTTTAATGGCTCTCTTTGCAATGTTTCCCAAAGTTTTCAAAACTTATATTCCGAAATTTATTATAGATACGATTAATTAGTAATTGGACCTTGTGTCATACAATTCAGGGTGAAATTGTGCTTGTAATTTCAAATCGGCCTCGCGCTTCGCGCTCGACAGATTTTGAAATTACACGTGCGATTTCTCCCTGTATTGTACTCCACTCAGTCCAATTACTATTACTAACGTACACAAATCAGAGCATGAATTCTGCCCTGATACCAGGTCATTGTATACATGTTATAAGGAGAGTAACCATAGCTTCTCACTGGCTAATTGCAAATTTCAGTTTGGTAAACATGAAAACATTTAGCAAAACCATGACCTGCATGTATTTTTGCTTTGTAGAGTAACTTGTATGACCGAATGGAAGAGCGATTTCTAAAGTTCCCTCTGGTAAGTATAAAAAGAGTCATTGTTTGTAAGATATGCTCTCAATTGGTGGTTCTTGTTTGAATTTGCAGTTCTACTTTGATTGCATTCCAGCTTATCAATAACTTTCAAAGACAGTTTGTAGTCTGTTTTTCTCTCTAAAATCAGAAGGGTGCACAGGGCGAGGGTTAGGACGAAAAGAGATTGCATGGGACGGGACAAGCCCCTTCTCGTCCACGCCACCTTTTTTGCGTTTTGTGGAGATTAATGCTCGTGGGACCTTAAGAGAAAAGATCGAGCTTGAGCAGTCTGTAATGTTCTAGATAAGAACCAAGTTTATTGGTAGTTTAGGACTAGTTGTAAAGTATTCCCTGCTCAAAATAACGAGAACATTGCTTTCATGCAGGGAACCCCCAAAGGCGCTACCCAGAGTTACTACTTTTTTGAATGGCTCTCAATTTGTTTTTCAGTTCATCTACCCTCTTCCAAGAGAACAAGGATACGAATTCATGTATGCTGAGTTCAAGGATCACAAGTGTTACTTCACATCTCTTCTTCATTATCAAGTAAGAGTTATAGTTTTGACTTTATTTAGTGAAACCATGTAGCAACTATCAAGTGCCAAGCACGGGAAAACATGTACCCAGTGCTAAGCGCGGTAAAACATGTAAGGAGTGCTAAGCGCGGGAAAATGTGTAACCAGTACCAAGCGCGGGAAAACATGTAACCAGTGCCAAGCGCGGCAAAACGGTCGTTGCACTCACCTTGCTTTCATTGGCAAGAGACAGTTAGCAATAGGTCAAAACTTTCGTGGTTTTGACTGCAAGCAAACTTTTGCAATTACAAGTTGATATATAGGTCGGCACCCCAGGGTCGGCACACACTAGGGGACATGAAGCTTGGACACATTGCAGCGACAGTTTTCCTCGTGCGACATGCCCGTTTCTTTGTGAAAAGTTTCTGCTGCGGAATCGAATTTTGTCCCCGCAACTTGTTGCATGAATTCAACTGGTTTGAATTCGTACGTCATGAAGTAGGGACAAATTGAACTCAAGTTTCAATGTCGCATCGTGTGCACTGCTTTTGCAATCTGTTCCCGCTACAACGTAGAAACGAACCAATATCCGCTTCGTGTGCACCAGTTTGTCTACTGTCCCTGCAACATGCGTCCTATGTGTATACACGAAGGGTTTGTCCACGCTTCACGTTCAACCTCATGTCCCCATAACAGTCACCTGGTGTGTGCTGGCCATAAATGTACACACAAAACACTCCTCGTTTTTCCACACTAAAATACTTTATTACTTAATATTGATTATTGCATTTACACAAAAACAAAAAAGACAATGTTCAAAACTCCTTTTCTACAAGTGACAATCCGTGACACCGTACATGAAAACTGTTTGAGTGCGTAGCTCAAGTTACATATCTGTGAAATACAGATTAGGTAGTGAGCTGACGGTCCATTTATCCAGCGGATGTTGTGTTTTGAACTGGTAGAACTTCCAAGCTTCAAGTTTGGTTTTCAACTCAGAGAAGCTTGTTTCATTGATATTAACATCGTCTTGCTGCAAGCACTGATTGTCTTTTAGAGGTCTGTAAAGAGAAAACCACATCGTGTTTAACTGACATTGAAAGATGAATGTAGAGAAACGTGGTAACGCATTGGCGCATAAAAATGAAAAAAAAATAGAGTTTAAGGAAATACTTAGCTCCTAGATTAAACGCCGGACCACGAATAAGCGCTTGGTTCAAATAAACGCCGGATCCGCAAGGTCGACTTAAAATAAACACCACTAACATATGTTCGAGCTTTCAGCGTTGCAATATTAAACGCGGCGTTTCTTAACATCTATTATTAACGGGTCCCGGGAGGGGGTCTGCCATATAGAAAGGACGGGGGTGCTCGTCGGAAATTTTGAAAAGAACCCCTACGAGGTACCAAGGTCCTGTTTTGTGAGCGTGGCTTGAATTTTTTCCACCCCAAAGAGGTGCCAATTCTAAAGCAACACAGTATATTCTGTCAGTTTTTTTTTCGGCTCATTACCCTAAAAGGTACCACAAAGCTCCCGGTGTGGACCTTTTGAGGCTGGACACCCCAATAGGTACTAAAACCGCTATTTTAACCCCTAAAATGTATGACGAGCAACCCCGTCTTTTTCATATGGGAGACCCCCCCGGGGGGAATAGATGTCCTTATTTTTATTCAAAAACCACAACATTATACCAGTTTAATTTATTTTGCGCCCTTCAAGATTCTAAAGAGAGGCTGCGAACAAACCAATCGACACAATCTATGAAACACATCAACTACATCTCTAGAATGTANTGTGAAATACAGATTAGGTAGTGAGCTGACGGTCCATTTATCCAGCGGACGTTGTGTTTTGAACTGGTAGAACTTCCAAGCTTCAAGTTTGGTTTTCAACTCAGAGAAGCTTGTTTCATTGATATTAACATCGTCTTGCTGCAAGCACTGATTGTCTTTTAGAGGTCTGTAAAGAGAAAACCACATCGTGTTTAACTGACATTGAAAGATGAATGTAGAGAAACGTGGTAACGCATTGGCGCATAAAAATGAAAAAAAAATAGAGTTTAAGGAAATACTTAGCTCCTAGATTAAACGCCGGACCACGAATAAGCGCTTGGTTCAAATAAACGCCGGATCCGCAAGGTCGACTTAAAATAAACACCACTAACATATGTTCGAGCTTTCAGCGTTGCAATATTAAACGCGGCGTTTCTTAACATCTATTATTAACGGGTCCCGGGAGGGGGTCTGCCATATAGAAAGGACGGGGGTGCTCGTCGGAAATTTTGAAAAGAACCCCTACGAGGTACCAAGGTCCTGTTTTGTGAGCGTGGCTTGAATTTTTTCCACCCCAACGAGGTGCCAATTCTAAAGCAACACAGTATATTCTGTCTTTTTTTTTTCGGCTCAATGCCCTAAAAGGTACGCAAAAGCTCCCGGTGTGGACCTTTTGAGGCTGAACACCCTAATAGGTACTAGAACCGCTATTTTAACCCCTAAAATGTATCACGAGCAATCCTGTCTTTTTCATATTGGAGTCCCCCCAGTGGGGAATAGATGTCCTTATTTTGATTCAAAAACCACAACATTATACCAGTTTAATTTATTTTGCGCCCTTCAAGATCCTAAAGAGAGGCTGCGAACAAACCAATCGACACAATCTATGAAACACATCAACTACATCTCTAGAATGTAGCAGTTCTATTTTCTATTAAAATACCTAGCAAGGATCCTTTTAGGAAAAGCGCATTAAATATCGCCTTAGCTTAGAAATGGATATCTATTTTCTTTACCTTAAGCACTTGTACGGTAGTTTCCATTCTTCGCCTGTGGCGAGCTCGTTTTCATCATGTATATTTTCTTCAAGTGGTAGATTGTTCTCTTCTATTCGAGATGTTACCATAGGTAATCTCTTGGAAATACCCTGAGAGTCAGGTATACGGACGCGTTTTTCTTTCCGTAACCTGTGATTAAAGTAAAGGAAGAGTTGTAGAAACTTTTCTGAAGTTTAGCGAAAAATGAAATCGAGTGGTCTCGTTACTTTATACCTTTTGGCCTCTGCCTTTTCTTCCCTTTTCGATTTGTAAGCGCTCCAAGCAATTCCCATTTTAATTTATCAATTGTTTGCAGTAAATTCTCTGAGAGCTTTTAAAAGACGTCTGTTCAAGAGAATTTCTGTTTTCAGACTGAGTGCGTTATTCCGTTGTGACATAACAAAAGGAGCAACTGCGCGTGCAGTTATCAGCCAATCAGATGGAAGCGCGCGCAGTGGTTTGTTTGTGTTTTGATTGGTTCCGTTGGCCCGTGAAAAAGAAACGATAACGAGGTTGAGAAAAGAGGAAGCGAAGTAATATGTTTTCTTTTAAGCAGTGTGTCAATTGAAAGAAGGAAACTCCGATTGCCTCGGGGGAAAAGGAAAGCCGTTTTATTCGTGAGAATTAAAATGACGTGTGTTTTGAACCTTGCACGTGCTTACTATTTGCAAATCTGGCTCCTCTAAAAGCTCTCTGAATTCTCTTACGACCCCCTTCCTGTTCCTCTTACAAGCCCCCATCTCTATAAATCCCAATTAATAAACTAAACTAAACTAAACTATTAAGAATAAAAAGCAGCGATATTAAAGAATGACGTTTCGACGGCTCCATGCCATCATTCCCAAATTCAAATAAGATACGTTATGTGAGTTCGTTATATAGTGAATGTACTTGTGAAGGTCTCAGTACATATGATTAAGAGATAAAAATAATCGATGAATAAAAATAAAAATACCAAGCGTGGTGCGCTTGAACTGTCAAATAAAAAGTTTTGCTTTAACGGAGTCAGATTGAGTGTTAAGTGTTGGTTTTTTGTTTCTGATGAAGAGCATTTCATAAATTAAACAATCCAGTTTTTTGAAAACTCGTTGCTTGTATTTTGACTCGCCCTATGGGCTTGTGAAAATACGGCACAACTCGTAAAAATATTTAGCGCTTATTAACCGAGCAGGAGGTCTGTATGGGAGAATCTTGACCGAGGTCGTGAGTACAGATCGGACCAGTGAGGTCTGTACACACGAGGTCAAGATTCTCCCATACAGACCGACTTTGTTCGGTTAAAAAGATGTTTATTATATGGCAAAGACGAAAACTTTAATTCGTTTAATGTAACTGGTTTGTTGACATTTTGCTTGCGAACGGCGATGAGCTTAACTTNATTAATAATTAAATGACAAATGAAAGAAAATAAGGAAAAGTGAAACAGGTCTTGACAGCGCGCGCCTTTATATGAAGTTCATTCAACTGATTGGTTGAAGAACATTGCAATGTTTGTCAAATTCCAAGTTTTAACAAGAGCAAAATATTCAAAATAATTCAACTACGAACTCGTAAATGTGTGATATTTTCAAATATCCAAACATTTTTAAGCAAAATAATTTTTTAGATTAAGAATAAAAAGTAGCGATGTTAAAGAATGACGTTTCGACGGCTGCATGCCATCATTCTCAAATTCAAATAAGATACGTTATAAGAGTTCGTTATATAGTGAATGTACGTGTGAATGTCTCAGTGCATATGATTAAGCGATAAAAATAATCGATGAATAAAAATAAAAATACCAAGCGGAGTCAGATTGAGTGTTAAGTGTTGGTTTTTTGTTTTTGATGAAGAGCATTTCATAAATTAAACAATCCAGTTTCCGACGGCATTTCTTGAGGATTGTAAATTGGTCACGGAGATCTTTGTTCCTCAGATTGTGTACGTCCGGCAGGTGTTTACCAATGACAAAATGCTTATGCTCATTAATGCGCTGAAATAGGTGTCGGCATGTATAGCCGACATAATCTGCGTCGCGCAGATCACATTTGTATTCATAAACAACGCCTTGTTCGTTAACAAGAGGTGGTTTGTACTATGCCGAGGTCTCAAGTTTGCTATTCCTCAGCGCCAGATATCTGTCATGGAGGTTAAAGTCAACTTCGAAAAGGCCTACTGACAACTCGTGCCAACCATCTGTAACGACAAGAAAGAATTGGCCGCAGCCACACTCCGGTCTATTGCACTAAACTACATTGAACGGAAAAGTCCAAGACCGCCTAGAGCGTTACAAAGATCCATCAACCAACTGAAGAAACGGAATGATATCATAATCTCGGACCGGACGTAATGGACAGATCTGACTATGTGCGTTTATTAAGTGAGGCATCCATCAATGATGAAACAAAATTCAAGCCAGTATCCTTGGAAAGACGAAGTACAAGAGGCAGACCACCACAACATTATCACCCTCTGCTAGAAAAAGAGAAACATCTGGAGTCCGTAGTTCGAAAAATTCTTCCTAAACACGTCGCTGATTCACTCTGCCAGAAGGGCTCGAGATTGGCACACCTCTATGGTCTGCCCAAGACGCATAAACAACGATTGGCAATGCGACCAATCTTTTCTGCCACGGGCACATGTAATTATGTTCTTGCGAAATGCCTGGCTCGACGAGAAACTGAAACCGCTTTCGGTCAACAAATATACAGTCACTGATGTTTTCCAGTTTGCCGATGAGATCAAAGCGATGCGATTCAATGAGCATGATATTTTAATATCATATGACGCATCTTCGCTCTTCACGAATGTGCCTCTAGAAGAAACAATACAGATCCTTGCTGACAAAGCTTTTACTGAGGATTGGTTCAATGTGACATACAACCTGAACATCAGCCGAGATGATCTCGTTAC